CAAAGGAAAACTGCCCAGCTATAAGTATGTGACACAGTTGTGTTTGTATGGCTTTAAAGTAGTGGTCAAGTGACTAGAGATACACTAATATAAAGTGGGGTCAAAATGCTGAGAACACAGTTCAGTCTGGGATTTCAAATACTAGTAGTTGAAATCTAGACAGAAAATACGTTTTTAGGCTTAAATTAAAAATTGGACTTCATGATGTAGAATGAATAGAAAATATTTCAGGTTCTGCATTATTATTAGTTTACTATGCAAACTATCACATCTGGTTTTCTGGTTCCCATTGCAGCACAAGATGCTCTTTGAAACCTCCTCAAATAATGCTGGATAACATGAATATTAAGTTGCGGTGAATTTATAACCGCTAAGGGGCGTTGTTAGGCATGATGCGAAGCGGAGTGTGTGTAACAATGTAGTTCCTCAGAAATGGTTGTGGTCCCAACCAAGTAGTTGCTGAGTAACACACAAATGTAAACAAAGGTGTATGTTTGTAGAGTAATTTACAACCGCTTTGAACTTGGCTCAACCAATCAGAATCAAGGACCGGAACTATCCGTTTTATAAATACTATTAATAATATTAGCAAATGAGACAAAATTAGACTGACAAAAAATATAAAATGTAAATTTTTTTTTTTTTTACAGTTTCACTTTTACTTTACAACAAATTTAGAAAACAAAGTTGCACACTTTTGGTTGATGATCGTTATATCACTACTTTAAACACTACTTTCACTTGGCATTGTGAGTTGAATGTTTTCTTGTCACACATAAATAGAAAGTCACTTTAAATACTTAAAATGTGCTGTTCTTTGGCAGGGAAAAGATGGCACAGGCTTATGATTTTGCTTTGGATAAGATTGGGATGGAGATTATGTCCTATCAGGTGAGTGTTTTGACCGTTGGTTCTTACCTTGTTCTATGGCATCATGGACATTAGCTCAAAATTCTTCTCCTTCTTAGATTTGGGTGGATTACATCAATTTCCTCAAGGGAGTGTAAGTACACCATTGGCATTTTCAAAACCCATTTCACAGTCATTAAAGAAGTTCATAAGGCATTTGAAGGGCTCTCTGTATGCGTCTCTAGAGAGGCCGTGGGGTCATACGCTGAGAACCAGCGCATCACAGCCGTCAGACGCGTGTATCAGAGAGGCTGCGTCAACCCCATGATTAACATTGAGCAGCTCTGGAGGGACTACAGCAAGTATGAAGAGGTGAGTGCATTGAAGAAGAATGGATACGTTATTCCGGTTCGGGACACTCTTTTGGAAAAGATTTGTTAAGAGAAAGTCCTCTTCAACTTTCTATTGTTAATTTGGTTTTAATGTGCATGTACCATCTCTAGTTTGTCATAAATTGCTTTTGTTCCATTATAAAGGGCATAAATGTGCATTTGGCCAAAAAGATGATTGAAGACCGGAGTAGAGACTACATGAACGCCAGGAGAGTCGCCAAGGTGAGTTCTGCACGGGTTAAAGTGTGTGTTGTGATAAAACGATAGGGTTTTCTGATAGACCTGACATTATGTTGGGGTTGTCAAATTTATTTATTTTTGGTCCCAACCATTTTTAAGTTTCCAAAATGTGCAAAAAAGCTCAAAATGCACTATTAATAAGGTACTATTTGTAGAAATCTCACACAATCGCATCTGCATCTCGTGATGTTCCTCTGTTATTAATTCTCTATGCTGATTTTAATCCCGTTCAGGAGTATGAGACGGTGATGAAGGGTTTGGACCGGAACGCCCCCTCAGTGCCGCCCCAGAACTCCCCACAGGAGGCCCAGCAGGTGGAGATGTGGAAGAAATACATCCAATGGGAGAAGAGCAACCCACTGCGTACCGAAGATCAGACCCTCATCACCAAGAGAGGTGACTTACAGGAAGATTCATAAATAATGAGCTGCAGGTTTTGACGATCAACTGCTGTTTCAGACCTGTGTTTACAACGCTTATCATTTTAAAGCAGCTTTACAGAAAATCACGATGTTAATGTTTATAATATCTTAATATCTTCATGCCATATATGTGACCCTGGACCACAAAACCAGTCTTAAGTGTCAATTTTTTAAAATAAGCTTTCCATTGATGGATGGTTTGTTAGGATTGGACAATATTTGGCCGAGATGCAACTATTTGAAAATCTGCAATCTGAGGGTGCAAAAAAATCTAAATACTGAGAAAATCGCCTTTAAAATTGTCCAAATGCAGTTCTTAGCAATACATATTACTAATCAAAAATTAAGCTTTGATATATTTACTGTAGGAAATTTACAAAATATCTTCATGGAACATGATCTTTACTTAATATCCTAATGATTTTTGGAATAAAAGAAAAATCTATAATTTTGACCCATATACAATGCATTTTTGGCTATTGCTACAAATATACCCCAACAACTTAAGACTGGTTTTGTGCTCCAGGGTCACATATTAGCATTTAACAGATTAGGGCTGGACGTTAATATAGTCTACATTTTATAACGTAAATGTACTGATATACATATATAAATGTATTGAATACAGTTTAAAATCTCTGGTAGAATTTAGGAGAAGAGAAAAGTTTCTGGTGATGTTTGTTGTTAAATCTGGCCGTTTTATGCATCTAATTATTTTATTTGTCACTTGCAGTGATGTTTGCCTATGAGCAGTGCCTTTTGGTACTCGGCCATCACCCTGACATCTGGTACGAAGCTGCCCAGTACCTGGAACAGTCCAGCAAACTGCTGGCAGAAAAAGGGGTTGGTTTGCACATCATTTTATATAAACTGTTTTACCACCGGTGCTAAAAAATGTAAATAGTTGCAGAATGGTTTAGTTACTCGGGTCTTCTATTGCATGTTCCATGATCAACTTATTTCACTCATGATCTCCTCATTCAGGACATGAACAACGCCAAGCTGTTCAGTGATGAGGCGGCTAACATCTACGAGCGTGCCATAGGAACTCTGCTCAAGAAGAACATGCTACTGTATTTCTCTTTTGCAGACTATGAAGAGGTGAGATCTCTAGAACTGCATTAAAGGATGACCTGAGCTATTATACCCAGTGTTGGAGAAAGTTACTTTTAAAAGTAATGCATTACGATATTGCGTTACTCCTTAAAAAAGTAACTAATTACATGACTTAGTTACTTTTTATGGAAAGTAATGCGTTGGGTTACTTTTTAAATAGCACGGCTTGATTGTTTTTAATACTCAGGCTGAAGGAAAAGTAAATTCACATCTGTACAATAGAACACAGGAGAAGAAGGTTCGACAGTCTTCTGCAATAAAAAAAACAATGAAGCACAATTGTTAGTTTCTCTAAAGTAATTTTTGATTATTAGTATGGTTGAACTGGATCATCAAAGGTCAGCAGCAAAGACATTAGTTGATAAAATGGGATTAGATACATTTGTGTTATTTAACATATTTAATTATTGCTGGTTTGCGTCATATTCTGAGTTTTAATTCATTTTGATGAATACTAAATCAGTTTTTTTGTGAGTGGGATGAATTAATGCACATTCACATTTAGTCTAGAACTACATCATGTTCACACAGCGCACACAACACCTCTGTACTTCCCATTTCTCCCAATATGGGGACAGGAGACTTGTCAGTCAATAAATGGGAAAACAAAGTAACTGCCGTTACTTTTCTGAAAAAGTAACTCAAATATTTTCTTGTAAATTAAAAAGTAATGCGTTACTAGTTACTTGAAAAAAGTAATCTGATTATGTAACTCGCGTTACTTGTAATGCGTTACCCCCAAAACTGGTTATACCTCTAAATAGACCGTATTCTACACTTTTGCTGCATTTTAAGCTCTTCCATGAGGTCCGCTCATGTTAGTCAAGGTCTCTAGCACCAAAAAGAATCAGAATTTAGTTGTGATCATTTGTCAGCTTTTCTTCTATTGTCTCACCTTTACAATTGAATAGGCTGTTTTGCTACTCTACCTTTAAGACTCCAACATGTAAATCACATTGCATTTATAAGAATAGTTCACTATGTCATATGTAAATCTGCTCCTGGTTGTGACCAGTGTTATTTTAGTATCGCTGAGGTATAGTTATAGTTTTTATTAATATTTTGAATTTTATATGTACTTTTCATTTTATTTAGAGTTTTTGTAATTTTGTTGTATATTTGACATTTTTATACATTTTCTTTTGTAGTTTTTATTAATTTTTCTTTTTCATCTTTTTAAAATAGTTTTACCTGCAAACAAATAAAAAAAAATCAGGAAATAAAATATTTTTTCATTTTTTTGCAGGTAAAAAATGATTTCTAATAGCGAAATTTTTTATTTTTTTTTGTAGTTTTAGTTAACTATAATAACCCTAGTTGTGATGTCATGATTATTTAATTAATTTATTTTTAGGGAGTTTAAACAAACAAACTCTATTTCATAAGTGCAATAAAAATCCTGTCCCCTGTAATCTGACAATTCAACATTTGTCCATTTACATTATTGATCTGTTTTTCACAGAGTCGCATGAAGCACGAGAAGGTTCATAGTATATACAACCGCCTCCTGGCCATAGAACATATCGACCCTACTTTGGTGAGTCCAGCTGCCTGTGTCCAAATGATGGACAAATAATTATAATAAAGTTCTGCTAAAACCTCAGGAGTAAAAACTGCTCACAACCCAGTGATTCAAGAAGTCAATTTTGAATAGTTTTTTATCAATTACTTTCCAGCAATCACATTCAACTGGAGAGTTTATAGAAATATCTGGGAAATTCGTTGTTTGAAATCGTATGGGATGCCTAATATGCATAAACACATGTTATGACTGTGAATAAACAGAGGCTGACCCGTTGAATTGTTCAGGTCTATATCCAGTACATGAAATTTGCCAGAAGAGCTGAAGGCATCAAGTCTGGTCGCACCATCTTTAAGAAGGCCAGAGAGGATGCTCGCACACGCCATCATGTGTACGCCACTGCTGCTCTTATGGAATATTACTGCAGCAAGGTAACATTAACACCACACGTCTCTTACATATACACTACCCTTCAAACGTTTGGGTTTCAAGTGTTTTCGAAAGAGTTCTCTTATGCTCATCAAAGCTGCATTTATTTAAAGGGGTCCTATTATGCTCTTTTACAAAGTCTTGATTTTGTTTTGGGGGTGTACTAGAACATGCTCTCATGCTTGGTGGTTTGAAAAACGCATTATTTTTCACATAATTTACAATATTAAAATTCCTTTCTCCCCATCCTGGCGCAAACGGCTCGATTAGTTCCGGCTTTGGGGAAGGTCCGCCTTCTGAAAAACAAAATGTGTTGTGATTGGTTAGCTGTCCCAGTGTGTTGTGATTGGTGAACAGCTTAGACGGTGTTTCAGTACTGCCACGCCCCTTGCTCCGTCTTTCAACAAAAACTTTTTGGCGAATCCGGCAGGCACTGTACTCCCTCATGTTGTGGAAGCTGTCCTCAGTAAAATGCACAGCACACAATAGCAAATTGAGGTTGTAATGCTTAGGAACAGAGTTAAAAAATAAATTGCAACCACTGTTTCCTAACATCATCCGCTTTTGGAAGCTCAAACAAAGACGTTTGGGCACGGAGGTGAAAAAAAAAACTGCATTTCAGGCGGTCGCACACCGGACGAGAAGCGCAGCGTCGCGCCACGTTTTTAAAATTCTAATACATTTTCTATGAGTGTTGGCACACCGGCGGCGTCTGTCCGCGACGCCCAGCTACGTCGTGTTATACTTGTAAGAATTGTTCTAGACATGCCGAAAATTTGATGCTACAGCACAGCAGCTCTTCTTCTTGGTTTTCTCTGATGCACTAACTCTGCAGCAGCACTTCTTCTTCATCGTCTCGTCTGATGCTCATGATCGCATGATGTGATATCACAAAGCCCGGAAAACCAATGCTGTAGTCCAAACGAGCCGTTCGTTGTAGTTCTTG